ATGACTCGCGAAAGGACTCAAAAACGGAGTTCTTCGTGAGCGGTACGCGAAGTGTCGAGAAAGTCGGTTGCGAAGGTCTGCACTGACAAGGGAGCAACGTGAAGATGTTGGATCGCTCGGGAAAGAGATGCACTAATTGTAGATCAACATGAGGCTGTTAACGCCGTGCGGAGAGCAGTGCGTGTACGCGTGGAACCTTTAACCCACACACTCGCTGCATTGACTGGGACGCCCAGCGTCATTCCAGCCGTTCCGCACGGTCCCTGTGGAAGTGGAGTGCTCTGTAGAGCACTGCTTGGTTTTGCTTTACTCCGCTTCGAAGTGAACACTTCGGCAAGGTTGTTGTCACGATCAGGTTACGGTGTTCCATTCGATTCCATTGGAGTTTCGGCCAGAATTGAAAACGTTGTCGATGGGAGAAGATGCAAACGATCCCAATTTTTACGAGTCGATCAAGCGATGTAACAGCGCAAACGCGTTTGCTTTCTTTTGGTTGAACGATTCTTGACAATTCCGGAAACGGTCCATACTTCCTCTAAACGACCGGTGAAGTCTATCATTTGACTACAACCAGTCTACATCCATTTGATAATCTCATTCCTCCTCTAAATCAAAATCAATAGTTAGGGTATACTCAACTCTTCGTTTAGGATGCGGGTGAAGTGGTTGAAATGCAGCAGCGCTGTGACAATTCGGATCGGGAACTGCGCCGCTGTTTGTTATCGATGGAGCAAGTGGCACTGGCAAACAATTCCTGTTCACCACACGGATTCACTTACTGAACGTGTCATTCATCGCGCAAAAAATCAGGCGATGATTCTAGCTACCGCCGTCATTCGGGAAGAAGCTCGCCGAAGTGCAGGGAACGATGGAACGCGCGCTGCGAGACGCGATGGACGATCACCGAGTCCGTGGGTAAGTAGTTGTGCCGAGTGGTGACATTCGCCTAGTGGCGACATTCGCCGAGTGCTGCCAGTTGTCCGCAAAGCATCTCGCGGTTAAATCATTGAGACTTGCGGTAAGATGAGCCCGTTGTGGTCATCGTTCCAAACGATTCGTTTGACAGAAAACATGCGCGCTGCTGCAAACGAAATTCCATTATTCGATTTTTGTTCGATGTGGGCAGTGAAACATTTCCACGAATACAGGAGCCGATCCATATGAGCTCTCCTTGCGTTTATCAGGCGATCGTATCTCCGATAACTGGTGAAGGAGCTGTTTGGGCAACGGCATAGGGTCTGCGATGCCGAAGTGAGAAACAAACGCGCTTACTTTGTGTCCCAAGAGTGAGCACTCCAGTTAGGTCAATAAGGACGCGTCCCAATTGGAAGGCGAATTGCGGACACATCACAGTATCGAAATCGTGAAGAACGATCATGGTGGTGATGACGTCGATCGGCAGGCCACCTTTTCGTTTCAATTCTTCAACAATCTCGATACTTTGGGGGTCTCTTTATGCACCCCCTAAACCTAAAATTGGAGCTATCCTGATGTGTGTATCATGTCTTCCGATTGGGAACGACCTTAGCAACGACACGCTAATGATCGTGAGAGACCTGAACGCAAATGTATTTATATTAGGGGTACAAATGGAAAGGGGACGATGGCTGTTACTCATAGTCTAAGGGTAAAGAACAAAAAGTCTCCATTTTATTTGAACACTCATATTAGTTGAGGTGAGCACGGGTGCGCCGAGTGGCTGCATTCATTACCTGTCTAGGGTTTCCCTGGACGCGTCAACCCAAGTCAGCATACTGTTCCATTTTTGCCAACGTCGATTACCTATCGAGCATACCTACGGTATGACTATGATCAAGTCTCAGGAAGTGTCATTTCGTCAAGTCGGACTTACGGAGCCGGTATCCATCCATGCCAGTTGTACATTGCCTGCTCGCGAGTTCGCTCTGAGTATTCGCTCAAGATTCAGGTTATCGATAGACCGAAGCAGGACGAAACTTGTGCTGGCAACATTACTGACGATGTGGTCTTTGAAGAAGCACTTCTTTGTCAAATCAGTTTGTTAAGTCCGTACGTCGGGATTATTTTTGTTCGTTATGATATAAACTCTCCGTTTCGTTCCCACGTCTGTCCCGTTTCTTGATCGTTCATGGTTCATTCCATATTTATTTATTTTACCTATGTTGAACTAATTGTGAATATAACTTGTCCATATTGGGAGATGTAGCACGTTGTACCTCAGCCTCTCTTTGATGTATATAAGTTGCATCGTGAACTGTAGATCAGGTTTTGGCAGCTGGAACCTGGTTTAGATTGTTCTTCAACTTATTTCTCACTGCTCATCAACTCTGTACGGTAGAAGGCCTCAATAGAAGGCTGTAGGTTGTTAGTTTCGATAGATCAAAGCGTTTGGTGATATGTGTTACTTCAGACCTACAAGGCTTTAGCCTCACTAAGACGTAGGCTTGGTAGCCCAATTGGCCTGAAGCCACTGCCCTTCCGGGACCTAGGCCAGGTGGGATGGTCACTTTTGAATGTGTGATGCGGTGCGCCCATGGACTGGGTCTGCTCTGACCAATGTGAACTGAGAGTAGGGAGGTTAGATGGACGAGAGAGAACGAAAGCCAGGGTACGGCAGGGAATTGAATCCGGCTCTCCTGATTGCCAGTCAGGTGTGTTACCACTACACCGGGACATTCTGTCAGCCTTCTTAATTGTGCCTTCATCACATTACCTCCTACCTATCTGGTCCTCCAGGCTAATACATGCAAGGCCTTTCTAATGTTTCGTTGGGAGTACATGGGATTATACAGCGTCCTCTGTGGTACTATACACAGTACCAATGGGGACGTCCCAGTCTCAACTCCACCATTACTCATGCCACGGCTATGCAAGATCCAAAATCCCCCGTCGGTGGGCGTTGGCACTTGGCCCCGCTTGCTGCCAGACAAACATACCAGTCTCCGAAGCGTGAGTTCGCTCCGCTGTCACTGCCACAAAGTTGGGACTTCATCACAGCCGTTCCGCTCGTTCTCGACGTTATGAATGCCGAATGCTCTGGAACTCCGGACAACTGCGTCTGCAACGTACACATGCGGACCCGAGGGACACAATATGTATCTCCCACCTTCGCACCTCTCCTTGTACGTTTCAACTTTGGTGTGTACGATGCGGATGAAGTGGTGTAAATGCAGCGGCGCCAGAAAATTCGGAACAGAAAGCGCGTCGCTGTATATCATCGATTGTGCAAATGGCAACGGCAAAAAAGAAATTATTGTACACCCCACGAAGTCGTATATTGCTTTGAAGTGGTAAATGTATTGAGTGTTGCGTGCCGACTGGCATTTCTGCAATTTTGCTGCCTACTGGGATGACGCGTCGCACAGCCTTCGACTTTCCATCGGATCAACTCACGCGCGAAATATGTCGTTCATCGAGCAAAACGCAAGCGAAGATTCGAGCTACCGACGCGATCATTTGGGACGAAGCGCCGATGGCGCCCGTTGAAGCGCTGGCTCCATTGGAATGGGCGTCGCGAGATTCGATGGGAGAATACTTATGCTGGGCGGTGACATTCGCCGAGTGCTGCCAAAGCATCTCCCTGTCAAATCGTCCATCGAAATGGGCCCATTGTGGCCATCGTTCCGAAAGATTCGTTCGATAGGTAATTCGCTTGCCGCTGCGAGCGAAATTGGTTTTACTCTTTGGGGGCAACGGAATGGTTCCGTGAGTACAAGGCGGTCGATCGCATCTCAAACGGTCTGGTGAACGAGTCATTCTTTCAACGGCATGAGGTGTGCGATGCCGAAGTCACCAACAAGCACGCCGTTCCCAAGAAGAAACACTTCAACTTTGGCAACGAGGACGTGCGGTCTCGATCGGAAGTCCAAATTAGAACGCGTCACAGTAGCGACACCGAAGAGTGATGGCAGCTCCACCCTCAATCCTCACTCCACCCTCATTCCTCACTTCACCCTCAATCCTCACTTCGCTCTCAATTTTCAGTTAACTCTGAATTCTCCGTGTCTTCCTCCCCATGCCCTAAACCTCTAATTATAGCTATCGTAAAGGTTTTGCTAAATGTCTCAATTTGGAACGGCTTTTGCAACGGCCTGCCTATGATCGTGAGAGACACAAAAGCAAATAAGTTACTAGCTAAGGGGACGACGGGTACACCGAGTGGCAGCGTTCCTTTCTTGGAGTTTCACTAGACACGCCATCACACAGTTCCAACTCTGTCGCCGTCGATTCCTATCGAGCTTCGCGCGACTGCACGGATATAAATACGGCTCGGGGACAGTCGATAAAGTCGGACGCCTCATTTTTAGCGGTCGCGTTCACCCGTCGGGAATTTGTACTTGGCTCGCTCGCGAGTTCGCTCTGAAGCTTCAGGTGATAAATGAATCGAAGGAAGGCTAAACTGATGCTGGCACCGGTCAGGAAAATGTGTTCTAAGAAGTACTTCCTCGATTCTCAAATCTAATCATCGGAACTGTTTTTGTTGATTGTGAAAGAAACTTTCCCTTTCGTCCCACGTGTCTTGCGTTTCTTTGTCTTACATGGTTATTACCGAGTTTGCATACCTCACACAACACTTACTAAAATTTCGATATATTTTTCCCTCGCACTGAAAGGAGTGGCACTCATGCCGCAGCATCTCTTCGACCTGTGGACATGGTATATCACATCGTAGAAATCCTAGAGTTCTATGGCCCAGAGAGGCATAGCCTTGTGGGCCTTGCGCGTTAGCCATCGCACGAAGCCACGAGGCTATGCCTTTCCAGGCCGTAGATCGCTATGATTCCTGACGTATGTCACACCCTGTATATGTTTCATCGTCAACTGTTGATGAAATTGTGGCAGCGAGATTCTGGCTAAGACCGTTCTTGGTTGATGACCCTTGCCAAAAACACGGAGGTTCATGGGCAGAAGGCCGCTGGTAATATGGATTCCACATACTGAGAGGTCAGAGCAGAGGAGTGGAATGCGACATTCATAGTGTTTTGGTCATTTCTAAATGAGGAATTTGAGCGACCCGACTATCGCATCGTGATGGTAATGACACCTTTATTCTTTCACCTTCACATTTCTGGAATTCGTCTCGAAGCGAACGGCAGATTCATCCGAAGCGTTTGTCGTCTACTTCCTTAGAATGTCCTCGTCCAGGCTTGGAGCGATGGGGAGATAAGTACGCCGTTCGTATTCACGGATCACCGATCACGGTTTGACGAGCAGTAGCCACGAGAGTTTTTTGGGATTATCTTCGCGGCCACGAGACGCCACTCGCGTGGAACTGGTTTCTGCACGTTCGTTTCCCGATTCGCTTCGAGTCTCTATGAAAAAAATGGACGAACGGTAGGAAAGCGGCGAGAACGGCACGCGCGCGAAGATTCACGCTCGCCGCAGTCTGAATATGAGGATGACGGCGTCCAGGAGAAAGAGGACGGCAGCGACGAACTGGAAGATTGCACTCGCGCGTCCCTTCGACTTCCGCTCGTCCGTGTACCCGTTCGCTTCCCCGAGGAGGACGCCGCCGGAGACGGCCAGCAACGCGCCGCCGACGAGGTTCACCAACACTTCCTGTAGCGGAAACGACATCGCTTTAGCAGTCCCCCATGAGTTCCTCGGAAAACGTGCAACAACGGACTTCACGGACCTTACAAAACAACATCTGAGACGCTCCTCCTGTGATTATCATAAAGTTTGAGTGATATTTTACATTTATCTTTGTTCCATAAGTAATAGCGAGGAAGACCTATGAAATCGTGGCTAACACGGCGATAAAATAAGCCTAAACAGGTTCATATGTACAGGGCCGGATTAAGAAGTTGGGGGGCCCGGGGCAAGTGGAATCTTGAGGTTAACCCCCCCCCCCTCCCCTCGGTTCTTACGCAAATATTTTACACTTTTAATTTCCTTCGGGGGCCCCCTGAAGAGTGGGGCCCTGGGCAACAGCCCCCTCTGCCCCCCCCCCCTTTAACCCGGCTCTGTATAATAAGTGCAGTTTGAACGTTCGAAACATTAGTATTCGAATTTCATGAACCTACATGGTAATTTTTGAGGGATACAATCGAAGCTGAAAGATGAATAGGGAATGTTACTGGAGAGGAAATGAGAAGAGTGAAAAAAACGGCACCGGAAGTTGCATCTACGTCAACTAAAAGCACTACGGAATTCTGTTGTATACATACAGAACGTCTCTAACAAGTAAATTGCATTTCTTATGGTCGAGCCTATGACTTTGAATGGCATGGCATCGTAAGCTCAACGCACAAGGAATATGACGCTACTACGTCTTAAGCCACTGGAAAGGTCATAAGTACGCACTTTATATATCCTACTTACGACATCAGTTGCTATTGATATCTTTGGGTCGCTCTATCGATTCCGTTATACTTTCCATCGTGATCGAAACGCTACGGTGATGAATAAGTGAATGAGCGTGAGGAGGAACGTGAATACCTGAGGCGAGTGGGGCTCTCCGAGGAGGAAACCGATCAAGTGGCACACAGCGAGGACCAGATACCCGACGACCATTCCCGCGACCAGGAACTGGGTGTCGACGCTCCCGATGAATGCATTCCGGTAGATTCCCAGCGCCACCACCAAGGTCAACTGCACGGGAGAGAAGAACGACGTTAACGGGATCGGGCGGATGGCGGAAATTTCCATCCACGAACGAATCCCGCTCTCGCGGAATTCTCCGCTCATCGACAGAGGTTACAGGGACTTTCAACATCAACAATCATCGCGCTGTCTCAAATCGCGACATCATTTTTCAAAGGAGCTCGAAGTACGAATTACGAAGCCCTCTCCACTCGCGACCTCCCCGTTCGAAATTCTTACCTTCCCGAACATTCGGTGCTAAGTTGGAGCAGATTTCATACGCCGACTCGGTGATCGAAAAATCATCGCCGTCGACGACGACGACGGCGGTAAAACAGTCAATTTTTTTTATCAGGCCATCGATGGCTTTTCGTCGACGCGTGCAGAAGCCTTATTTAAGCCAACATTGGCATATGGTTAGCTAACAGTTGGTTCAAGCCGGCTTATGGACGGGCATGTTCTGTTAGCCAACTTCGGCTCGTTGTCGGGAAGCCGCACATACCCCAACCATTAGCCGACTTCTCACGATTGTAAAAAGTTTGAGAAAACCCCACATAATCCGCAGCACCATGCATATTTTGGCCCTTACTGTTCCTTCCCATCTGGAAGAGATGAAGCAGCTGTTCCTTCCACAGGTCCACTTCCATCACCAAGAGCTGCGAGCATCCCAAACCTGATCTCTTCCGGATGCTAAGGCATCGAGGAGCGGAATCGCATGGGAATGCGCTGGTTTCTGTCCTCCCGCAGGAGGCCAGGCCTAATGAGCTTTTCAATGTCTTCAAATGGAGGAAAAAGGCGGCGTAGCTCATCGTGGAAAGTAGAAAGTTCCTCCCACGGAAGGAAGGTTCGCGTTTTCCCCCGAAAATAGAAACTCGCACGCGATCGGATGGAGAGAACCCAAGAAATGGGGGAATTTGCTGTCGACCGGGTGGCGAAAACTCCACGGTCGCGGCGGATGGTTTCGGCGGATGCGAGTGAGGACGCGGAAATGAACTATTGTCCAGTAAGTGGAACCGATCGGGAACGAAATGAATATAGGGGAAGTACATGCAGAGAAGTCACCAAGATATGAGAAAGGAAGCTTTGGAAGTGCTTCATGGGGATTTCCATTGGTAAACCACCCCCCCTCGGTCTGTTAGCGAATATGAAGGTAGTGGAGAATAGTGTTGCCGGGATTGTAAAGACTGGCGCTTGGAAGTTGAGCACCAGCGGTCCGGCCGGGTTTCGTCTCCTTGGAACATCCGTAAAAAAAAAAAGACCA